TGATGATCGTAATCCACACTGGAAAATAAACGCTCGGTGAAACTTTTCAGCCCATTTCCTTTTGTGCTTTCAATAGCCGTAGTAGCATAGTCTCATTGGGTGTCGTGTGACTACGCTGGAGGGCGCAGGTTCGACAGCCACCCACGGGGGCCGTTTTTCGATGGGGGAAAATGCAAAGAACACCCATGTTTTTATGTTTAGATTCACGGCAAAAAACTTCAGTAGGTTCGAAATCTATCGGCAGTCCCCCACCACGGCATGCCTGATAATTATATTGTGGTAGCTGCACGTATAACTCCAGCGATTGTATATTATCGTGCTTTCACGCATAGACTATGCCGTGATATCACGTTTCCTAGAATATTGAATAGTAACTGTGATGATTTTTATGCACCTGGTTGAATGAATGAGTGCTATTGGTGTCCATTTGAGACTAAAATCTTGTATGCTTACCGAGTACGTCGACACCAAAAAAATCTATTATTTGTGTACAGTCTAACGTAATCGATAAAGCAAGACTGCTTAGGGAAGCAGAGCTCCTTGTATTCGTGACAAATTGGTAGTATGGAGCAGCACAAGACACGCATGGAAATGAGGGGAGCATCATGCGTGTAAAAAAAGAAGGCTTTTGCTCTGCGCCAGTAAAACAAAAGTATAAACATCACTCTTGCATTGCTTGCATCAATCGTTGGTGAAAGTAATCGCAAGCGACTGGCCGAGGCCGACTAGGCTTGGCGTGCGCATGCGCGCGTGCAAGACCCCATGGTTGAGGAGAAACTTGAAAACTGAACGAGAAATGCTGCTCGTTTGGTCCTTGCCCCGAGAGGGCACGACGGGTAAGGCGCCCGAAAGGGAGAAACTCGCTGCGCCGAAGGAGAAATGGAGCCCGTTTTTCCATTCTTGCTCCCTTATTTTAAAGGTTGGTATACATATGCACAATCTATTTAAACTACCGCCGATAGCGACGTAACACAGAAAAGCCTATGCCTGTACCCCGCCCCCCGTAAAGTCTGTGTAAATCCCCCCCCCCACACGAAAATAGTTTCTGCCTACGCTTCTGGAGGCAACAATTGTGTTTCACAAAAAATAAAGGCTGCTGGCATGAATAACATTCTTCTGCGCCATGTGACCGCAGCTGTCCAATAACTAACACGACGGCCAGCGCCAAAGGAGGCGGAGACACAAAGAAACGGCGTACAGCATGCTTGTCCATGCAGTGCGTGCGAGCAAAAGGAACCACGACTGGAACTGTCACATTCGTTCTAATTCATCGCTCCGTAGCTTAAACTGCGTGAATAGCGGATACATGTTTCTGTGCATGGTAAAAATAACGAGACGAAAACTGCTAAGCAGCAAGAATTTTGTGTTCGCCGGCTGTCATTATCATATAACCATGCCGTACCTCTGATTGGAGGCCTAGTCGGTTAACGCGGTAGCGGCGGTCTATCTCGCATTCTCGGTTCATCGCTGGAGCTGCTGAATGTGCGTTGTTGAAGTGTTCATGCACGGATGATCGGGCTTTGTGTACAATTCAGTGCCTTTTACGGATTCGCACACAGTACTTCTAATGCAAATGCAGCCTCTATGACGAAGCACCAATTCATAAATAACTTTGGCTATAGTTAAACATGTATTGAATATAGATGGGTTTAGGATAAAAGGCATGTGTGTTCAACTACTTACATTGGGCAATCACAAATATACATCTACGCCTTGCATTTTTATTGCTTAATTATTGGTAAAATGGGGTTCCTTCAGAGCTACACTGGAGGTCAGATTAGGGTGCCTATATATACTTAGCGACTGAAGTGTGTTTGTAAAGCATGAGCGGGAAGTTGTGATGAGTAATTGTTGTAATATTGCGTGAATATTGTGTGCATGTTTGTAGTACTGTGATAAATATTGTGTGCTTTGAAGGTAATTGAATTAAAGTTACGCTTCACCTTATACAGCTGCTCACGGGATTTTCTTTTTTTTATTTACTCCCATACTGACCTGCAAAAGATCCTCAATGGTTGTAAAATAAAAACTCCCTGTAATCTATCCGAAAACCCCTCCTGTTGTGGTGTACACTTATTACTCCCTCCGGACGGTGTTTATAAAACCCCCATCGGGGCCTGCGCTAGTTGACGAGCCGTTTACTTTCATCTCGGTCAATTGGTTTACAGTGTAGTGTATAAATCCCGCAACATTGTGTGCGGAAAGTGGCATGGGCTCGCGATTTGCTCTTGGCCATTGCAGAGCCGCTTGGTTTTGTACGTTCGACGATAGATGGAAGCATACTGCAAGCGATTTGCTTGTTGAGGGGTTTCAGAGCGAAATAGGTGAAATGCTCTCCATGTTCAGGTACACGTGCGCATGTGCAGTGTTGTTGGTGTTGTCGAAGTCGTTTGGCGGATGAAATTATTCAAATTGCTTTCAGCACTGGTGTTAAAAAACGTCTAGAAGACGAGCATTTTTCGCTGTACGTAGAAAGCAGTGAACGCACCGATAGAGGACAGCGGCGAGGAATGATCCGCTGCTACCTCATGAGAAGCACGTTGTGCTTCATGTTCCCTTGTGCATTAACAATTTTCCGCGCTCGTAAGCAACATTCATTGTATTTAATGCATCATATCTTTGAGCGAGTTCCAATAAAAGCACAGTTTTTCTTCTGCACTTCATGTTGCAGCAACACTGTGGATATTATTGAGCATCGCAAGCTGCCAACATACTCGAGGCTCGACCAGCGAAGCGAAATGGTTGAGCGATGAAAGATGCAGTGGCGGCTACAATTAACGCCTCTATGCAAACTTATCCTGTTCTAGCGGTTCATTCTGAATGTTGTTCTTCGACAAATTTTCGTAATTTGGAAGGTGCAAAACGCACACGTGTGTATTCACGCCGATATTCATACTTTGATAGTGCTGATCGAACCTGCAACTTCCGAGTGCAGTGAATGGCGCCCTTACGTATGGACTTAGAGCATGGCTGTGAAACATTCGCTACCTAACGGGATGTTAAATGGTTGTGTTGCGTTGAAGAAGCAAGTATTGATGATGGCGTATTGTGTTGGCAAACCATGACATTAAACATTTGGTCCATTGCAGCAGCGTTCGGGCTACTGACTAGCGGCCTACTACCGCGTCAAATTTGTCAGGTATACTCGGTACCGACGATCTCGAAGTGCCGTTCAGTTCATACGTGAATTCTAGTTCGTGCATTTTTTGTAGCATGTGTCGCAAAGCGTCATTAGTGCACGGTAGAGGAACTAATATATAACTTTTCAAACCGCGGCTAATAATCAGATGGTGAGCGTCCATGGTTGCAGAAAGTATCTTTATCACATATACATTTTAGTGTAGCTCATGGCTCTACCTGGCGAAAGAGGCATGGTTTGTATGCCCAAACATTCTATCTGTTCCCATGCTAGCAAACAAGTTGACCATATTCCAGTTGCCATATTGAATTTACAGAGCACCAGTCTACATCTCGTGCTTATCGCGCATAGGACGAACCGCAGGCGTAGCCTGGAGTAATGCGACAGGGCTACCACCTTAGTAACTGAGATGCTGCCATGACTTGCTGCCTTAGCGAAGGCGTCGGCCTGCTCGATGCAAGCTATCCCTACGTGCGAGAGAATGAATACAAGATCAGTGCAATCGACAATGAACTTTTTATTGAGTGTCAATATTTGAGTAAGAAAATTCTGATGGGTTCTTTTTTTCTGACACCTACATTGAGAAAGATTTGCTAGTGGTAATAGACATTTGGCATTGTTTGCACGCACCAGGTGTTTATCACGTTAAGATGTCTGTTTAAAGTTAAGTGTTTGTCGTAAGATATTTCTTTAGAGATTGTGCAGTCGTCTGCGAAAACGTTTATGCTACACTACCTATTAGCGACGACGTCATTATTACAAATTGAAAACAGTAAGAGTCATTAGACCAAACCTTCTGGTACAACAGACGAGACCACAACTATATCGAATGATGCTTCATCAATATAAACAAATTGTGAATGCTGGCACAGAAAATCAGCAAGCTAAGCGGTTTTACTGACAGCAATCGCCTCTATTTTCGCAACTCACTTGTTGTGATACTCGCGATCGAATCCTTTGCTGTTGTCAAGAATATATTATCTGCGTGGCCAATATTGTCAATCTTCCGTCCCGCTGCCTTGCTGTTAGTAGCCTATTTTCTTCAGGATATATAGCATGGAGTTTAAATTTTTTTCTAGGACGTTGCGTGGTGTGCTATTAAGAGCAATGAGTAGATACTTAGGAGGAGAGGTCATTTGGCATCCGCGCAGTTGAACTTGTAAGTGAAATGTAATAAACATTGCCAAGATATGTGCTGCACGATTCTTCATACCATTTAAGAAATTCATAACAAATACTGTTAGGGCCACTTGAGTTTTGCTAGTTGAATTCATGTAGAAGGTTTACGATCTTTCCGAGTCAATTATGGTAAGTGCAATAATGCTTGAGCTCTACATCATTTTTAGCTCTACATTTTAATCCTGACATCTATCTGGCGTCAAAGAATTTCGTGCATGAATGTGAATCCTAAATCTCTGCAGATTATTTTTAGGAAACCAGGTAAGATAGTCGTAAAGTATCGTGTCTGTATATTTGCAATCGGGCCAGCTTATTAAGCTTGAGACACTTGTTAACAAGAATTATCTTTTACGCATCGTGACTACTAAAACGGTTTCGCACTAGGGCCTAGATAAGTTGTCGTCCTGCTTCAAGTTCAATGGAGTCAGCAGAGTATGCTTGAGAAAATTCGTCAATGAGAAACTGGTAAATATGTTTACATACAAGTTTTCTGCTAGTAAAACCTTTTATAATCATAAAAAAATTCACACGAGCAGAAGCTTTAGCTAGGTGCCGTGACTGTTGAGCAGTTTCGATACTGCTAGATGCCGGAGAGTCATTGTGGTCAGCAACGACGTATCAGAAAGAAGTAATGCCAACAATTGGCCTAAAATGTGTACATCATGTTGAACTTTTTTCATAGGTGTCCTCCATGTCGGCGGATCGTGGCAGTGGATTATTCACCGAAAATGATTGAGTACGCCAAGCAACACTCTGCCCACCCACTTATCGAATACAAGCTGCTGGACATTGGCCTTGACGTGCAGAGCTTCTTGTCGGATCATGGAACCTTTCAGCGCGTGTACAGCCTAAGGACGCTGCACTGGGCAAAGGACCAGGCTCGAGCATTTGCCAATATTTGCCGCCTTATGGAACCCGGTGGAGAATGCATTCTGCTGTTCTTAGGTCGCTGTGATACATTTCACTTCATTCGACAAATGGCACAGCTCGAACCCTGGACAAAATATTGCGATGTGAGTAGCGACTTTCAAACACTTCGAAACGACTAAAATCTAACGCTATAAAACGCATTTCATACGGCACAGACTGACCTATACATGCATCCCCTTAAGATAAAAAAGTATGTTCCAGATTTGGAAGAATGTAAATTTTAGGAAATAAAGAACCGGTGTAATCGATAACGATGACATAAATGAAGGTGCACACGCTAGCCGTGTCTACGAATTCGAAGCTCTTTTGAGAAGTTGAATACGGGCATACAGCCGACGTTAAACGAAGCAATCTGGTAAAGCAGGAATCGTGCTTAAAGACAAAGTTCTATTTGATCCCTTTTGTGAATTAAGTCGTCAAGCCTAGCGCGCACTCCGTTTAGTGCAGCGCTTTGGAATTAGCGCAGCAAGATCCTTGTGAAGGTCACTTATATCCTAGAATATTTAAACAGACACATTAAAACATAAGAAACCCTTACTGCGTCGTGCTTTGAACACCTTCCAAGTTTATTCACAAAGGGGTTGTTTTCGCCGTCTTTTCACAGCTTGTGAGAATGCCGCGATGTCTGCCACATACTTTCTACCCACCCATCGTATGTTCACAGCTATAGTGAAGGCTGAAGACATCGAACACATCTTTTTATCAGGTCACCCTCAAAATATTACGAAACGTTCGTACGTTTACTTTTGTTTAAACGCGCCTACTTACAAATCCTTGTACCTCTTACAGGTTTTCCTAAATGCAGTGCCCAAGACTCATGATATGACCGACGTGAATACGCTACGGTCGTATGTAGAAAACCTCGTTGCCTCAGCTGGTTTGACTCTGATCACATTGGATATTTGGGAACGAAAGTCTTCATTTCTAGACACGGAAAACGCCGTTGGTAAGTTACAATTGTAATGAACTGGTGTCCATTTGCTTTCAATGCATCGTTAAATGCAGTAAGATTGATGTGCACATAAATTTCTCGATGTATTTTGATTCGCACAAATGATTTTATGTAGCACGCGTTCCATTGTACAACCAAAAAGGAAGACTTGGCTGCTCCTCCCACCTACTCATGTGCGCTTCTAAGATAACTTGTGTGGTTAAGCGACGTCGTAATCAGCCAGAACCTCAATTCATCCTGGTGGTCTGTTTTCTGTTTATTGTTTATTTCCAGAACTGAAGTACCTTCAGTGTATAAAATGTATCGCAAGCTACAGTTTTCTGGTTGTGGTGCATCCTAAATTAGCTTAATCATTTATGTCAACTCATCCCTTAATTCACTCAAAATGACTTTGCGAATTTAATGGCAACGCAGAGTGCGATGACAAGCAAATTATGGGCGTGGCGTAAATTAACAGGAAGATAGTTGCTTGAATTAGAGTAAAACTGGGACAACCGATAACCTAGTTCACATTTGAAAATGTCAATTCTGAGCCTAGAAAGCCCGCCCAAAGGGTAAGGCAGACAGCTAACTGAACGTTAGGGTTACGGTTCAGGGAGGGTGCTATGGGAAACGTAGTTACATATAACAAAACTATGAGGGAAATTCTGTTTTGTGAAGAGTTAGCCTCCGGAGGTGAAGGACATACTGTACTGTTTACGGTCCGAAAATGAATTGAAGGAAGTACAATGAGCTCTGCAACTAATCCCACGCATAGTCCACATCCTGTCACACCAATTCAAACCACTCACGGAGGAATCATTCACGTTGTGCAGATTACTGATAGTGCGTAATAAGGTAGTATCAAATATTTTCCTAATGATTCGCACAGTTTGCAGTTTAAAGGCAATGTTAGTTTCACCCAAAATAGAAGCAATAGTATCAGCAGCAACCCACATTTATCATGAGTAGCTTGTGAGCATTTTTTTTTGCTGTCGCTATGCGGAATAGCCCTGCCACTTTTGACCCCTAAATGTGAGAATTAGATAATAATATTATATAGTAATTTTGGTTAAACGTCCGAAAACTACGATATAATTATGAGGGGTGTCATAGTGGAGGGTTCCGGAGATTTTGACTACATGGGGTTATAACGCGCAGCCGAGTCATAGAACATGGGCCTTCGGCATTTTAGCCTCCAACGAAAATGCGGCTGCCACTACCGTGGTTCATTCCCACGACCGGCGAGTCAGCAGCCGAGTGCCCTAGCCACTAGAACACCGCGAATTCGGTCAGAGCCCATAGAGTGAATTTTAATTCGAAATGGTAACAGAACGTGCCAAATCTTAGCATGCGCTGCACTTTCCTAATGTACCAAATCACAAATTGGCGCAACTGCTTAAACCTAAAGTGGTTCATGAATTTCACTTCACTTCCCTGTTACCTCTACCGACCTCTACCAATGAAGTTACCTAAGCATATGGTGCTGCTGGTTCATTTATTATTACCTAGCAATTCCATGGAAATAACCGCCACCCCTCGTCTACGGTCTAAATCTAACCGCACAAGATGAGATGAGAGGAAAGGGGGCCGGTGCTTCTTCTATCGTGCATCATAGTTCAAGATTACACCAAGAGGCCCTATCGAAAGGATGCACGCCTGTGTTTCTATAAAATGTTTAATTGAATAGGCATGCATTCACTGTTTTTACCGAACAGGAGAAAACTCTCGCATGGAATTTTGTGCACAATTGGCCAGCTTGCACCCCGAGAAAGTATGAGGACGCCAAGGATGTCACCACACGCATCGCTCATGTCGCCACATTCTTGTTCTGCGTTCTCGTCCTTTTTTGCTGTGTAAGCTGATGAAAAATGAAATATTACCAACTGACCCATATTTTGATTGTTCAAAGTTCGTGTGTTATGGGAAGAGAGGAAAAGAAAAATAGCCACCCGCTATTACCAATGAGAGATCTCGAGTAACTGTGTCGAAGAGTGGTAGGGGTATTGCGTGATTATTGCGTGATTCTATGCGGTTTGGGAATGTTTCATTGTGATTCCATCTTTATTATCCTTTTTTATTGGACGAAGGAGCAGTATTGCCTTTAATGTTAAGTGAAAGCCAAGGCGCACTTGACTGAACTCCGAACTTGTGACCCAATGGCTGCATATACGGGGTGGCCAGTGAACGATTGTGTAGTGCGAGCGGTTGTTTTAAAGGCGAATGCATTTCTTAGTCGGGCTATGTCAGGCATCCGGCGCTTTCCGCGGTGGCGTCCACGTGCCGGCAGGTGTAATCTCTCCACTCTCATTCCCTCTCTCTTAGCAACAACTGCGGGCGCACCCCAAGCAACCTCGCCCCAAGCAACCGGAGAATGTGGTGCGATAGAGTGTAGGAAAGGGTAGCTGCAGTGCTTCGTCGCAACTTTTATTCAATGCCCTCTTCAGTCTCTCTCTCATTTCTGTGCTCCACTCTCTCGTCTGCTCGCGCCTCACTCTCGACCGTTCGCTGGCTGGGCGCCTCTCAAGAACATCCGGAAATGTAAGCTCGAGAGGCCGCTCTGAAACGCCAACACCGAGTCGAGAACGCTGGCGCCCCACTCTACCGTGTGCTCTTCTCCTTACTTTTGGTCTTTCGCTGACTGGGTGCTTCTCAAGGCGATGGTCAAAGTACGTGAAGGCGAATGTCTGACAGCAACGGTAGCCTCTCTCTGCGCAAGGAATGCATTCGCATTTCCTCACCAATCTCTTCGAGGAGGTGGTGGCATTTTTTTCCCAACCAGATGCTGCTTGCTTCGGCTCTGCGAGGTGAGAGAGGGGAAGGGGAGTGACAGTTTTGTTGGTGTATTCTTGGGCATAGAGTTCCCTGAATATACACTAGAAGAAACTCCAGCTTGAGTGTCTATGGGAGCTGCAACGCCCGGCGCTACAGCGAGCATGAAAATCTTGGGTAGTACATAAATTTGCCTAGTCCTCGTACTTTACGTTCCTTATAGCTGCGCGTGGCCTGACGCTGCTTTTTCACTAAACAACAGTAGGCCGACGTTCGGCAGTTACGCTTGTCCACCTTCATCTTTTAGGATGAGAAATTCAAATCCACTCACGATGTTCATGGATTTTTTTTTCATTCAAAGCCACACCACAACACAGCAACAAACAAAGCCATAAGTGAGATTCGTCACTAGAAAGCTCGAAAACTTGGCAAATTCATGCCATACCCATACTTCCCATGATAACTGAACGAACGTGGCGCGAGAGTGCCCTCCAGTTAATTTTAGAAAACTGTATGTGCCCCTTTTTGCAACAAAAAAAATGAAAACTTTTTCGAAAAATTCTTTCAGTTAATGTACACGAGTCCAGTTCTCATACAACAACTCAAGGCTTCATTGATTCATTGATTGATTTGTGGGGTTTAACGTCCCAAAACCACCATATGATTATGACAGACGCCGTAGTGGAGGGCTCCGGAAGTTTCGACCACCTGGGGTTCTTTAACGTGCCCTCAAATCTGAGCAAACGGGCCTAAAACTTTTTCACCTCTATCGGAAATGCAGCCGCCGCAGCCGGGATCCGATCCTGCGACCTATGGGTCAGCAGCCGAGTACCTTAGCCACTGGACCACCGCGGCGGGGCAACAACTAAAGGCTGTCTATAGGGCCCACGATTCGAGGGGGCGGGTGGGCCTCCCCACCCTTACGTGGAAGCGACCCGCGATCCTGCCCCGATAAAACGAGGGTGGAATCATTCAGGACCCCAATAAAAAATTTTCGTCAGCCATTTATGTTTCTGGGCAGGCGCGAGACGCAACCATGCGCAGTGATGGTGTGGACGGCGCCGCCACCGATGTCGCAACGCGCCATCGCACATTAAATAAATGCTCTGCGTTTGAAAAAATCCTCGCACGTTCACACTGGCGGTGCGAAGCAGGCAGGAGGAACACAGCTGGATGGCGTATCTCAATTCTCTTCATTGTTTTGTTTTAATTGCTTCTCTTTTTTGTCTTTACCTCTGTTCCTTATGTTTGCTGTTATATTTCCATTTCTATTTCCTTCTTGAGCTCTCCCAGTTATTCCTCTTTCTGTCGTTCCTTTCTATGGTTTCTCTCTCTTTCTCCTTTCTCTTCCCGTTTTGCTTCACGTTTTTTCTACTCCTTTCTATGTCTTTCCCTGTCTCTCTATTTTTCATGGGTCAATTCCCTTTAGTAGTTTCTAATAATATTTCTTTCTCACTTTTCTTTCTCTTTCATGTGTTCCAGTACGAATTTCATTTTGAATTTCTTTGTATATATTTCTTTCTCTATCTTCCTTTGACGTATTACATGATTCCACACTGGTACTGATAAGACTGTTGTACTCCTTTCTAAGACTTGCTGAATTCTTTTAGTTTAGGCCCGCTGAGCCATTTAGACGGTTTCGCTGTTGGAAACTTGAGTGTACTTGACAATACAAATTAATGACCCACAACACAGGTAGATATTGGTGAGGTAGGGAGGAAAACTTAGAGTGAAATGTGGCTGTTTATCAACACAACGGCGTTAAAGAGCTCGTGTCGCTGAAATGCCGCCGTCGGCGTCAGCACCGTTGGTTGTGAGAGAAAAATTATCCGTGAGCGAAAAATCTCGTTAGAAAGATCGACGCGAGAGGCCGCTACTTGTCCAGGCGTTCGTGCGCGATTACACTAAAAAAGCCGTGGATTTGAAGAAAAAAAGAAAAAGGGCTCATGGTCACGAGGCGCGGCTGACATAGTTTTTTTTTGCCCCTGCCACCCCTCCCTGCTTAGCCTCCAGCGCTTTTGTTGGGCAAGAGAACATAGAATGCAATAGCAGCATACGACAAACCTCTGTAACTCTACTGACACTGCACGGATTCTTAAAATTTTTTGTGGCGTTGAATTCCTGACGCAATAAGCTCTTCCAGTATATAATTTCATGGTTACTTGAAAAATAGTTTCAGGTCCCCTTTAGCGCATTTTGTTCGACAGATGTCGCGACAAAAACGAGCTATTTCAGTGATTCGTAGGCACAGTCGGGAAGCCTCGAACTACGTGAAAATAGGCTGGGATAGTACAGCCATTGACGCTAAATATACACAGGAACTTTTAAACAGCTCTGAAAATATTCAACAATGTCCATCTAGTGGAAAACATATCATACCTTTTCAGAGGCGTTGGGAAAGAAAATAGCAAACACTAGATAATGTGTTGCCATCTGTGAAATATTAAGAGACTCTTTATAGCCTCCTAGATGGCGAGCGTGCAGTGTCTATGTTGGAGGCCATGCGACTCATGCCTTAGATCAAAAACCTGTATGTACCATTCTAGTGCTCGTGCTGGTACAATCTACTGTGTGTGTGTGTGTGTGTGTGTGTGTGTGTGTGTGTGTGTGTGTGTGTGTGTGTGTGTGTGTGTGTGTGTGTGTGTAACAAAACATATTAATAAGTATAAACTTAGCGGTTCAAGGGTGCACTAGGGGCTGGCTTTTGGTATCGCATTCAACTCTTAAAGGCGAAGCATAAGAATCCCCCAATTTTTATTGGCCCATTTCAGATCTCCTTGCTCGTTCACTGAACTCCTTTCATTCGTTTAGGCGCACTCGACGTGTTGAGGTATGCTTCTTTGTGCATGGCCTGCGCTCTCATCTCAGACTGCGAGCCGTTCCGCTGCCAAAGCCGATCACAATAGGCCCGCAGAAAGAAGTTGTGATGTGCTACGTCAGATGGTGCAACGATCCTAGCTGTTCACAAAAAGAAAACACTGCGTGGTTCACAAAAATTAGTTTAATTAGTTCACATACCTACATCCTAAATTTAATCCTATTACCTACCCGACATTTACGTGGCCCTCGGCGTGAACCTATGCTTTGCCGTCATACGCATTCTAACAAACCTTTAACCATTACCCCCTTCCTTATTGATTGACTATTAGTTTTGGGCTATGGCGACATTTTAGTCAAACCACCACTTCCATTTGCCTGAAGGTCCCTTCCGGTGTGCCCAGAGTGTAAATGAAATCCATAGATTCTGGATCTAAAAACGGTCCAATTAAGGAAACATCTTTTCCTATTAGTACGCCATCAGTAGCAGCTTTATAATTTCATGAGGAGTTGACATTAGATAAATTAGGCTAAATCAAGCGATGATGTTCTTTATGGCGCTATTGTATAGCACACTTAGGGGCATTGTTCTATTTTCGCCTTAATATAAATGAAGGAAAATCGGTTTCTTTGTATTTTCAACTTCGTTTTCTTGGCCGATCTTCAGAGTGGGTACATGCCATAGGTTGAAGGGAAAATAAACAAAGAAACAAACCCATTTGTCTAGAGATATAGGCCGCTATGCTTCGTGTTCACTCACGTGAGGTGCTGACTAATTTGTACGAAAATGAAAAATTTGGTGAGAACGCAAGTATTCAATGTCTTTTTCTGAGGACCCGCTTTTTTTACCCTAACAGAAATGTTTCTGATGGCGAATCCGGTGTCGCCCATACTACCGGAAGAGGAGAAGGTGCAATTCGAAGAAGACGCAAGAAAGCATGTGCCTGCGTGGCGTAATGCATACCAGAAGAACAATCCCCTGCCAGTTTGCCAGCTTTGTTGTGCATGCATCAAAGCCTTAATGTTAATTATAATTGAGGAGAATTATTTCAATGAGACAGCTAAAATATTGGTGGTGGCGTAAGAATTAGGTCGCTTTTACTTAAATGTCAATAAATACGGTGCCCCAGAACACCAGAAATAGCTGAAGCATTCGCTTTGACATTATTGCGGAAAATAGCGTGGCTGCTACATATTTTAGTGTATTTGGCCATACATTTCAGGATAACAGGCCAATGGTGTTGAGGAACCAACCAACCAACCAAAAAAGAAAGATGAGAACAAGGTGAGATTTTGGTTGGGTAATGTCATGTCTGAGATGCGTGAAGAGTGTATCATGAATGATACACTCTTTGCGCGTCGTGCGATAGGGAATTGCCTACTTGAGCGGCGTCGTTATGCATATTCATCATTCCGCGAAGTTCTACTGAATCTGCATGTGTCATTTCATACGTCCGCGAAATTTGAATAGGTACTAGGGAAGTATTTTTGCTTTTAAAGCTACAGGCGGGTACGTGGCCCTCAAGAACTGTAAAACAGTCCTTTCTATACCGTAGACAGCTTTAGTGGCGCAAGACGTTGTCGTCTTGATGCCCTATACTAGGGCATAATTATGCAACTACAAAGTTCGAACGCACCTTTTCGCATTACTCTTCAACTGTGTACACTGGTTTGCAAGGGGCTCGACAAGGGGCTTTTTCAAGTATCCACTCGTTATTCCATTCATATGCCCGATCCTTGCGATACGTTACAACTTGTGAACTTGGGCAACAAGGAAACCGCTGAAGTTTTTTATTTCGTTTCAGAGAGCTTTATTGTTCGGTGCACTCCAAAACTTCCAGGCTGTGACATAGAAGACCAAATTACCATTTAATCTAGTGACATTAAGTGGAGCTAATATACGCTTGCTTACGCTAGGAGGTCGACTTGTATGTAGCACAAAAAATCATTCCATATTTACGGAGTGATTAATGGTGAGTTGGGTGAAGTGCCTGGCCCCTGTGTTCGTCTGTCTGTGCTTCCGTACGTCCATAATTTCTTGCTTTTGCTCGTTCGTTTATACATGTGTCCTTCTATGCGTCCGTTTGTGCGTCCGTGCTTCTGGCCATGTGCCCATGCGTCCATACGTCCAGACGATCGAATGTATACAGGCACAAACGCACGGACGGAAGCACGGACTGGACTGATGGACGCAAAGATGGACACATGGATGAACGGACAGATGGAAGCACGGATGGACCGATGCTGTATGAGCACAAGCACGGTAGGACAGAAGCACGGACACACAGACGGATGGATGAAAGCACTGGACGCACGCACGCCCAGATGGACGGGCTGATGGAAGAACGCACAGGCAAACAGACGGACGGGCACATGGACAGACGAAAACAAGGGCGGATGAACGGACGGATAAACGAATGGACGCACGTGCGGTTGGACACATGGGTAGACAACCGGACGCGTCGCCCTTCTCATCACCGTTCACTCCGTGGATATGCCAGGAAACCTCCACCACCATCAGGTTATATTGTTACGAAGAACATATACACACAACGCCACGTACTGAGCAGCTCACAACTTAGAGGTGGCTACATATTACATACGGAGAAGGAAACAACTCGAGGCTTAAGAGTTTCGCCCCTAAACCTTCAAATGCCTTATAACAAGCAGTGCATTTATTCGACCATTAAAGCAAGAAGAACACGAATAGCCCCACTTCAAAATCTTGAATCCCAACCAACAAAAATCACTAGAGCATACTGGGAGTTTTGCGATGAGCATCAAGCACAAGGAAGGAGCAGCTTCGGAGGAGGTTGGCTCCTAGATGCTAGGCGCGCCTAGCCTATGTATTCGCCTTTCTGCGGGCGCTTTTCGCTCCGGCCACGTATAAATCCTCTTAGCTAAAGAAACGTGATTGCTTCATCTGCAGAGGCCCTACACGGCTTTGGTGTATTTTTGGAAAGCGTACGGAGGCATGGAAATCCCTGCACACTCTGCAATTATTCATCTGTGTGGTTCAGCCTTTTTTGACAACCATCCTTCACTGAGACAGCCCTACTATCTGCTTGTGATGCGTCTAGCTCAGGAGATGGGTGTGCCTCTTCGCGAACGCCATGTGACATACCTTGCCCCCACCCCTCCTGCAACTATCCCACCATGCTAGTGGCAGCTCATACAAAGCAATCTATGTTCTGTGGAAGTTGCTAATCAGGCACATACTGCAAATATCTGTACATGTTATAATGGTAGCCCGAATACGCTTTTCCTGATTTCTTTACCAATGCTCTCAAATCAACACTTCTCTGTCGTATGCTGTGGTTGGTCCGTGTTTCTGAGATGTAGGTGTTGTGCACCCCAGTACAAAGATCTTCAGGGTAGAGGCATACGCAAAATTATCGACCATCAAACATACCAAAGAATTAAAACGGACGAAAGCTGCGGTATACGCTGATTTTGTTAGTGTGGTTACAACTATAAGACCTTCAAAGACACATTGAGCCTAAAGTTGTCTCTAACTACTCAATTTCATGCACAATCTACGCACACAAACAGTATGTAACAGTTTGCTGGGTGCCAGAGCACCGCGAGATTCGAGGAAATGTGTTGGCGAATCAGCAAGCTGCCTCCACCCAGAAAACGCCACAGCTTATATCCCATTGACACAAGTCCCTGCACTTGAACTAAATTATTCCCTTAAAGAAAAGTTCAGAGATTATTGCCAGTGTTTCCGGTATTGCAAACACACAAAAAAACTCCATCTCATCAAGCTACATCTCTCGAAGTGGCCGCCAATATTAAGAACATACGCACAGCACACAAAGTACACACTTGCACCTCTTGTTTTGTGGCAGTCTACCTTTGCGTGATAAGTGCGATGAACCATTTCCTACGCTTCAAGTTTCATTACAAGATAAGAAAGTGGATACCATTAGAGGAAACCATGTTTCGTTTTCATTCCGCCGTCAAATCTCCTTGCACCCAGCGATGTTCACAGGTAGGAAACTGCTTTTTAGTAACCTATGATTGTTCGCATTTTTAAAAGATGTAAATAGTTTTCACGCCCTATTTTCAGGCAACCGCGTAGCAGGACCTCACTGAGTAAAGGTTGCTGGCGCGTTGGTAGATTAAACCTGTCTCGCCGCCCTTGGGCGCAAGGGCTATTGATGAGATATTCGTCCTCAAGCCATATATCTCATCATATTCCTATTACAAAGACCACTGTGATTCGTTCATGCTGCATGCATTTTGTGCCGCCTTCATGATTTAAATGCTTATTGTTTTACCCGCCTTTGCGCTCGAAATCATAGGCCCCTATAGAGTCACGCAGCAGAAGCTTAATTCACATTTTTACATACTACTATTAGCCACAGATGATTGCTATTCTCATGTCATTTTTCATGGCGCTCTTTGAACAAGTATGGCTTTTGCGCCAATGAAAATCACATGTCATCATCATAATGTGTCACGTCTTCATTAGTTTTGGTATAGCACTTGTACAAAGGACTCATGGGTTCTCCCTATCAGTTGCGGGCAAGCGGCTGCATCATCAATTACTTCGTATAAATGGTGCGATTTTGTTGTGGTTTTTGTTTTTCTATTGAATTCGTGTACCAATATTGTTTGCGACCACTTCGCCTTTGGCATCTGGAGATCCTAGTGACTGGTGTCCACGCTCACTGCTCTGTCGTGTGCCGAGTGCTATAAAGCACCGATCGACGAACAAGGCAGTGGCGCCTTTCTTTGACCGTAGGGCCGACTGGACTACGCTTCTCTAAGAGGCGTATCAGCCATCCCAACTTTATCGACATGGTACGCCTATCAACATCGGTGTTTGCCCGTCGACGTCATTGAATCTGGCGGCACCGCACTGAAATGTCAAATAACCTTTCGTTTTGTTGATCCAGTTGAGAAAACAACTATCGAAAAGTTACAAATGTAACGAATTATGTCCTGTGGTGCTGCCATGCGCAATCCAAGGGTATTCAAGTGTGTGTCACTGTATAAACCATTGAAGTACTTCTTTGTGCTCTCTGGGATGCAGAGAGGTTCTGGGAATCGGCAAGTCTTCACCAAAATCCATAATTTGGCTGCTGACACATGTGATTTCGCTTTTATTTGGTTAATGCAGTCTATATGACTTGTCTTTTTTTATATTTATCTATGAGAGATAGGCACCTTTGCTTCAACGCTTTAGAGCCTTTTTAGTTGGAGTACCAAACGCTTCCCAGTGAAATTCCCTTCCAGTGCCCCACTATCCAGCGCAATACTGGGCCCATACGCAGGCATGGCATAAGACGCTAAGTTTCAGTGCCCCTCGGTTTTCTTGCGATAGCCGTTATATGGGCACTCTCGGCTGAAGTTTTGCCACCGGCGTTGACGTCCACATCAACGTGGCCGTCACCGTCACTCTATGTATATGTATACATATGTATATGTATACGTATGTATATATATAAAAACGCAAGAAACAAGGAAAAAAACCTGAAAAAGACTCCAGCGCGTGGACTCGAAAGTCACGGCTCTAAGTCGTGTATTCAATGCGTTAACCACATTACCACGCAAAAGCACACTCTTCAACTTTCAAATGGCAAGGTATTCATATCTACCACTTACCGCTGGTGATGGACAAGAAGGGGGGGGGGGGTGATGGGCATCTCTGTTCTGTAGACGTTGTTACTTGTACATTTACAATGCGTAGAGTGTTTTTCAAGCAGTCTCACTTTGTACTTCAGGCAGAAGAATTGTAGTAGTATTTAGAAGCATAATAGTTGAGCACACCTTTTTCTGATAAAGGTTCAGCGTTATCGTTAGCGAGAGGATACTCGGCGACAACTTTTCTTTGCACTGAAGAGAAAGCTACAGAGGTGAAGCTTCTGCACATGCAGCAGCAAGCGAAGTAGTCTGTTTTGGAGCGGGTCTCGCAAAAGTGACGGAGGCGCACCATCAGCGTTTCGTGTAGACGCAGACGCTGCTTAGCGTTTGAGGTGCACGTAAAAAGGCAGGAATTTTCTTGCGCGTTCAAGAATGCGAAGAAACATTAAATAAATTCAAGTAAATACGACCATCTTAATGGCAGGAGCTGCGTCCTGTTTTAAATAGCTCCCCATAGGAATTAAGCGGAAACTTCCATATTTCAGGATGAAAATACG